GGCACTTGAGTCCCTACTCATTCAATTCCCTATTTATTTGGTACCCTACTCTCGATGTTGTCAGCATTGGAGGGTTTGAGCTAAAGCAAGAGGTTGAATAGACTGGGGCTATTTTCACTGGAGCGTCAGAAGCTACAGAAATTTATAAAATCATGAGGGGCATGGAGAGGGTGAAAAGTCAAGGTTGTTTTTCCCCAGGGGAGTCTAAAACTAGAGGCATAGGTTTAAGATGAGAGGGGAAAGATTTAAAAGGGACTTAAGGGGTACCTTTTTTCACACAGAGGGTGGTGCATGTATGGAATAAACTGCCAGAAGAAGTGGTGGAGGCTGGTACTATTACAACATTTAAGAGACATCTGGATGGATATACAAACAGGAAGCGTATAGAGGGATATGGGCCAAATGGTGACAAATGGGCCTAGATTAATTTAGGATAGCTGGTCAGCATGGACAGGTTGGGCCGAAGAGTCTGGCTCTGTGTTGTATACCTCTATGACTCTATGACTCTACCCATCTGACACTCTACCTTCCTGGCATCCTATTCTTACACATAACTTATATTCTTACCATTTGACAGCAGGATGAAAGTGACTGTCTATGAGTCTGAGCTTTTAAATGTCCCTTCCTTCACCTGACCATCCTTCACTACCAGATACATGTCAGAATGCAAATCTGGCTCCACTTTTCTGAAGCAACACTGATTGTGTAGGGAGTGCTGCCTGGCTTATTTTTCACCAGCTCCTTGGTTCTGATACTGGCCTGATATAGTGGAATGTGGTGTCGTGGTAAAAAATAGGAGGCAGATACTTCCGAGGCAAAGAAAACTCTGATTTTATTGAAAGGCAAGCAAATTGATTTTTTTACAGGAAAACAAGAAAGTGAATATCAAATCCGACTATTACTGACTGAGACCTATCTCCCAGTTAACTTGACCCCACAGTTAAGCCTTACAGTCAAGACTTGATATGATGGGTAACTAGATACAGTGGGTAGCTGTTACCTATGCTAACAGGGAAAGGAGAGAGAGCGAGATTACCTGCTAACCCCAAAATCCTACCCCACTTCCATTCCTTAGGGCTGCCTTACACCGTTAGCCCCCGAACCCCACCTTCCCCTGTTAAAGACCAGCCAAGCTGAGTTAGAGGGTCTCAGTGACCTTAGGCTCGCTCCTGAAGTGGAACATGATTTTGATTGGCTCTTGTCCATAGTATCTTGCCGTAGCTGGGTCTCCACATAGGGCCGCGAATGCTGATGCCTGTCAGTCTGGTTGTGTCCACTGATGCGGTTAGGCACATTAGACCTGACAGGTGAGTACCTTGGGTTTCTTTTTTTCATGGCGGTCGTTGTGAGTGGGTTGTTGTCTCAGTGGTGGATGTTGCTGGCGTTGCCCCGGTCGGTGTCTTGTGTCTCTGGATGCTCTCGGTTGCCTCCAGACGTGGAAGTTCATGGTTGGTTGATGGTGTTTGGTGGTTGTGAGGGTCGCTCTCTGTGTGGAGGGTTCGCGAAGTCCTTGACTTGGAGGCTTCTGCAGGAACTTTTCTCTCAATCAGTAACTCTGACTGATCTCCTTCCCCTTCTTCGCGGCTTTGGCTGAAGGACTTCTTCGCGTTCGGGGCCTGCTTCTTGTTCGGACCCTCGAACACCTCTCGCGAGCTGTTCACACCGGGCACACACAGAGCCCACCTCAGAGCACACACCGAGTTGGAATTGGGGTGCATTGCGGGTCTCACAGTGACCACTGCTCATGGCCCACATTGCTAGGATCATGGCCCCCAGTTGTACCCAACTGCAGCCCCCTTATCTCCTGCCAAATCAGGTTTTGGCTGCCAAGCTATTGTTCCTCCTCTCCAGACTGAATGAGTTTCCTGATCACCGGAGGATGTGTGAATGGCTTTTCGATTAAGGTGAATGGTTTTGATGGTTTGGAATGTCCTGTATTTCCCTTGGATGGGTGTTTGTTAAGGTTTGACGAGTAGTGTGAATGTTCTAACATCCAAAGGTGAAACAGGTTTACATGTAGCACAATGGTGTGGAAGGTTCGGTATTTCTGTGCCTGAGAACTCATTGGAAATTGAATGGCTTTGTGCTTCTGCAGTCTCCAGAATGTCTGAAGTTCTTTGTTTCCTGCAGTCTGGCTTCCATTGTTTAAGCTGGTGCGTGAATGGGCTTCTTTCTTTAGTTTTGTGAGCTAACCCTGGTTCCAGACATCTGCCCCCTGGGTTTGCATATTACCCAGTCTGTCCCAACCAGCCTTTTCCTGGTTCGGTTGCAGCCATGGTATCTTAAGTCCAAAAGTTCAGTGAATTTTAGGTCCAATGTAATTTCCACAAAGTTACATCTTCGGAGGGTTTTAGTCCAGGGTATATCCATAAACCAATGGGGATTTTTGCCCCACCTTACAATTGGAATCTCTTCTCAGAAACATAGAGCTGTATCCTTTTATAAAAATGAAGGGGTGGAGTGACAATCTTGCCCTATGTTATTATGTTCCAATTTATTGCACTCATTCTGAGCAAAAGTAGATCTCATTAGTCATTAAACTATGCATTGCAATAAATGAGATGGTGGTCCCACTGTCTTCCTCAATATGTGAAAGGAGGGCCATGAGATACAGGGTTCATGTGGTAGATACCTGATGTTCTGGATTCACATGGTCCATGGACTGAAATTTCCAAAGTCCAGGACATAACAGATATATTTTCTGTTGAAGGATCTCCCATCGTGTCTATCTCAATAAAAGATGGAGATATCATGTCAAATAGAATCATCAAGTTTATCATATTTTCAGCTTCATTCCATTCGTATCTGCTCCTGAGGACTCTCAGTTCACCTCAATGTAGCTGGATTCAGTTGAAACAGGGCAGTTATTTGAACTGGTTTCATTGCCAATGGATATTCAACAAAAAATGCCTATCTTAACATAGAACATAGAACAGTACGATATTGTGCTGACCTATTATCCTACTAAGATCAATCTACCCTGCATACCCTACATTTTACTATCCTCCATGTGCCTATCCAAGAGTCGCCTAAAAGTCTCTAAAGTATCTGACTTCACTACCACTGCTGGCAGCGCATTCCACACACCCACCACTCTCTGTGTGAGGAACCTACCTCTGACATCTCCCCTATACCTTCCTCCAATCACCGTAAAATTGTGCCTCCTTGTAATAGTCATTTCCGCCCCGGGAAAAAGTCTCTGACTATGTACTCTATCTCTTATGCCTCTCATCATCTTTTACACCTCTATCAAGTCACCTCTCATCCTTCTTTGCTCCAATGAGAAAAGCCCTAGCTCCCTCAACCTTTCCTCATAACACCTGCCCTTCAGTCCAGGCAGCATCCTGGTAAATCTCCTCTGCACCCTCTCTAAAGCTTCCACATCTTTCCTATAATGAGGCGACCAGAACTGAACACAATATTCCAAGTGTGGTCTAACCAGAGTTTCATATCTTCTTAGTATTGTAAATATCCCACAAGATTGCCTTCATGTTGATGTCAACTTATGTTCAACTTATTTTAGTAATAAGTTGTGTTTACATAGCAGAGTTAGAGAAACACTCAAAGGTTGGGGGGAAAGCCTACACTGGGGGAGGTAACGAAAGCTGAGTTGAGTACTGAGTTTTGAGAATGTTTTTCATGATAGACAGGTGGAAAGCTTTAAGTAGAGACTTCTAGATGGGCTGAGATGGTTCATCCTTGGTTGTAAGGATTGGAAGGCTGGGACTATATACACAGTTAAAGCCAGGGGATCAGAGAGAAGGGGTAAGAATATAACAACTGTAGAATCAATCTACATTCATAGGGCACCTTGAATGCGAAAAAAAAAAGTCACAATATGCCTCACTGGATACCACTTCATGAAAGAAAATATGAAGACAGTTTGGTGAAAAGCTTAGTCAAAGACATAGATTTGAAGGATGATTTTAAAGGAGATTAGATAGAGAAGCGCAGGGAGGGAATTAGAATGTTCATTGCTGAAGAAACAGCCATCGATGAAAATTGGAGATTCTCAGAACGTCAACATCACAGAAGTGTAGATACCTGGAGCATTTTAGGGCTGGAGGTGGGGACGGGCCAGGCCAAGGAGAAAATTAGAAATATGATGAGAATTTTAAAACCAGGATCCAATGCAGATCAGAGGATCAGAACGATGGATGGATGAGACCCGGTAGAATCAGGGCAGCAGAATTTTAATGCAGGGAGCAAAGTGGGAGGCTGGTCAAAAACTTGAGATGTTGAGTGACATAGAGTAGGGCAGAGAGGGTAGCAGACTGATCAGCTTTTACTTTCACTGTGAGGAGGAGGTCCTGCATTGCAAATACAGGGCAGGATCAGGAGATATGTAATCAGCCAATGTGGGCCAGCGAGGAGATGATCCACTGAACTGCAGTGGAACAGGGTAATTAAAAACGAAGAAAAACAATTAATTCATCAAAATGATTAATTTCTATAATACCTTGTTTGACTTTTTGACTAATTCTTATTCTTCTGTCTATCATCATTCTTCTGTACCTCTAGCAAACATTCTCTGAAGTGAACACTCTCATTAATTAAACTGAAAGCCACTGAACCAATTCGCCTACCCAACAATCAGTGGAACAGCAATAGCCTCATTATTATTATTGTTTTTCATTGCTGTTTTTCCACTAGGCAAACTAAAATGTACAGAATTATTAAGTTACAGTGAAGTTGTATTTATGACAAACATTATAAATCATCCCCATCTCTGTTACCACTTTCAACACTACAACCTTCAAGCCCCGCTGTTGATTCAGACCTGCTTCTTGAGCATTCCTGACTTTAATCAATCCACATTGTTAATCAAAAAGTACTGGGAGAGACTAATAGCACGAGTATGAAGGATAATTCAAAAGTAAACCAGGTGAGTGCAAAATTATTAAGGTGAGAATGTATGTAAATGCACATAACTTGGTTAATAAATTTAGAACTGCATGAACAAGTAACCACATGTAACTATGTTATTGTGACAATTATAGAGATCACTACTGCCAGACTGGAGTGGTCTCTGGTGGATGGGAACAACTTCAAGAATCAGGTAAAGTTCAGAATTTGTGTTTTATTGCACCACAGCTCTCTATACAAGTTACACATGAGCTTCCATGTCTCTTCCTAGGCCCATTGCTATAAATAACTATGTCTAAAATTCCAAAACTTGCAAAAAAATCTCTTCCAATGCTCTGATGACTATTTCTATAGTCATATTGTACAGCTTTAAAACTTCAATCCATCTCAAAAAATGGTTGGTAACAGTCAAATACGCTTGCTATTAAAGACAAATAGAGCTATTTATAGCCTTTCCAATGGCCTGGTTGAAAATTTAGTTGCTATCAATGTTCCTAGTTGAGATATTCCCCACATTTGGCAATTATAAATCACTTCTTCAATATCCTTTGAAATACAGGGCTACCACACTGATGACTGATCCATGCTCAACATTTAATAATGCCCAAATGACCTCAATATGGCATCCCACAGATCTCTTCTCTGAGTGAGGTTGGAATAACACCTCTCCCATCATAGACTAGCATTTCAAACAAAGGGGAACTACTTTCTATATTTAAAGTTAGTTCATGACTATCCCTTTGGTTGTTGACTTGATCAAGTCTGTATATAATATTGATGAATTTCAAAACTTGCATCTGTTCCTGATGAATTTGATGATGCTGATTGAGTCCATTCTGATTTGCTGCCCTGGCACCACGGTAGACTGGATGTACAGCTCAATTTCTTCACTGGAATTATCTTCGCATTGTGTAAGTCTGTCAGCAATTGCTCTAGAAATCCATCTGCTGTTGCTTACAGTTTTCCTTGCATATCACATGTTCCAGAAGTAAATATTATCAATCTCAATCAACATCTTTGCATACATGGGTGGAGATATTGTTTTGAGTTCCTTCTCTTCGAACAAGGAGACCAGAGGTTGATCAAAGTATAGTGTGAGAATTGCTTGCATGCCCATTTAACTGAGAGTGTTTTGTTCTCTGTAACTGCATACCTCCTCTCTGTATCTGATAGTGCTCAAGATGAATAATAAATTGGTCTTCAACACCGTCTAATGATTCCTGAATAAGTATTACTCTTCAGACTGTTGTTGAAGCATCTGCTACTATCGTAGTCAGAAATTAACAATTGTAAATTGCCAAGACATCTGCGGAAATTAGTATAACCCTAAATGCCTGTTCTTGATGAAGAGTCTGGCATCATGTTTGTGCCTTTTGTAGTTTTTGCAAAGGTTCAGTGAGAGTTACTACATTAGGTAAAGATTTTGCAACCTGATTGATCATTCCTGGAAATCCTTGAAGATTTTGACCAATTTTGAAGTTGGAGATTCTTTAATGCTTTTTTGTCTTTTATAGATCAGCCATTATTGATAATACATCTCAAGAAACAAATGGATGTCTTGGAGAATTCACACTTATCATGACATGTGAGGCTTTCTTCCTATAAACTATTCAAAACTGCACTTAGTCTCAGATCATCCTCTTTAGCTAATCCCTCGTGAATTCAAGTGCCATCTATGCAGCAGATAGCATCACTAAAACCTTAAAACTTTTTCAGTATTTTCCTTTAGAAGATCTCTGGTACTGAGGCAATGCCGAATCGTAAACAATTGAAGTTAAATCTTCTAAATGGGGTTATGAAAGTCACTAGCAGCCTTAGTTGCTCACCTAATGGAACCTGTCAAAAGCCACTATTTGCATCGGATTTCGTGAGTATTTTGCTTGTATTCAATTTAATTAAACTTTCATCTGCTGTGGACAATGTGAAGTTCCCTTACTACCGCCTTCTTGAGTTGTTAGAGCAGCACGAATATGAACAGTACTATTGGGTTTTGACAATATGACCAAGCCTGAGCACCGCTCTGTTACTTGCATGATCGGAGAAATTACTTCCTTTCCTGTCATCCCTTTCAGTTGACTCTCCAGTTGCTTCATTAATAGGTGTGATACTTTTAGGGAAGTGTAAAGACATATTGATTTAGCGTCAATTCTCAAGTATATACTGCAGTTAGTCTTCCGTCTTCCTAGATCTTTGAACACTTTTGAGTAGTCCTTTTCAAGTCCTTCTTCAGCGTTCTGAATAAGATTCAGTTCAATGCAAGTACTTCTGCTCATAAATGAAAATTCTTGATTCTGTAAGACATATAAATTCTCTATTGTCTGATTTCTCCCCTGCATTGGAGAATAGCTTGTAGCATGCATTTGATGTTTCATTTAGTTCCTCGTAGACCATGTAGCTGAATTTCTGTCGGTTATCAACAGTGGTTTACTAGCAATGTTCTCTGACCATAAGGACTATTATAGTTGCTTCATTGTCTAACTCAAAACTTATTTGATGCCCATTGATATAATTGCTTGTGTGTCAAAATGTTTGGTCAGGATCATTGATCTTACAAAGAAAGGCTTTGGTTTTAACTTCCAGTGAAGATTGTTCTATTTTGATGATAGTTTTGTGTATGAAGAGTTTGTTTTTGTGCCTTTTCAGTGTGAGTCCTCTGCTTCTATATAATTTTCTTGCAATGATACCATTACCTTTTAATTGCTGAACACTGTTCACACCTATGAGGTCATTTGGTTCCATAATGTTGGTAAGGATTTCCGATCTCTTGTGGTTCTTAGGGGAGGAGTTGGCTTAGTAGTATTATCACTGGACTACTAATCCAGTAGACCCAGGTAATGTTCTAGTGACCCAGATTCAAATCCTGCCATAGCAGATGGTGAAATTGGATTCAGTAAAAATCTGGAATTAAGAGCCCAAATGGTGACCAAAGAAAATGTGCTTATGGTCAATTGTTGGGAAAAACCCATCTGGCTCACCAATGACTTTTAGGGGGAAGAAACTACCATCCTTTCAATAGCTGTCATTGTCACCACATTGTGATCACTATTGCCTGCCTAGCATGCTTTCTACAGGATGGAAGTTATCTGTCCTTTCTATCTAGCTGATAAGGATTTTAGTTAATGGTAAGATGTTTATTGTGTTGCTCCATTGTGCAATAACTTCACACATCTCTCTTTGACTGTTTCAATCTGATTGTGTCTCTTTGTCACTATCCATGTGACTGACTGTATAACATCATTGTAATGGATGGTGCCATCATATACAAAATCAGTAACAGATACTTGGCTCAAAGAAGGAAAAGTTTGGGACCTTAGCATTCCAGTTATTCACAGGGCCCGTGCAACAAATTTTGCTAGCTTGAACAAAGTTCCAGCCTGTCCCTCTCCCACTGAGGGTATCTCACGTGAGGGGAGATAGGAAATGCAAGTACAGACAAAATAACCTCCACCCTGCTATTATTTCCTAGCTTCACAGGTTTCAGGTAAAATTCTAATGTTTTTAAACAATAACTTTCTTTCCCTAAGAGTCCAGTAGCGAATCCAGCTGTCTTTGCAGAAATCTTTGTTTTATGTGATTTCTTTTCCTTCCAGTATGCAGTAGTCCTATATTTAATTATCCCTCTTTTGCGCTCTCTCTCCCTCTCTCCATTTGTCTCTCTCCAGTTGTGCGTGCCCCTGTCTCTGACTGTAACTGTCTTTCAGTGCTCACTCTATTTCTTCCTATATCTCTTACACTGCAGTGTCAGCATCCTGTCATTTACACACAGCACAAGGCTATGTGTAGATATCCACCCAAAGATCTGTAGCTCGGGTTGTGGATGAGGTTGTTGACTTGCTCACTGAGCTGGCTTGTTTTTGTTGAGACGTTTCGTCACCATGCTAGGTGACATCATCAGTGGAGCCTCTGATGAAGCAATATTATTCTACTCCACTTGGAATTGGCTGAACAAAAACAAACCAGCTCGCCGAGCAAGTCAACAACCAGATATCCACCCAGTTTCATTCATTGACATAACAATATAATAATATAATGGGGAGGCGATGGCATTGTGGTATTATCTCCAGACTGTTAATCCAGAGACCCAGATAATATTCAGGGAACCAGGGTTCAAATCCTGCCACAGCAGATGGTGGGATTCAATTAAAAAACAAATCTGATGATGACCACAAATCCCTTGTCAATTGTCAGGATAAGCCCATTTGATTCACTAATGTTCTTTAGGGAAGACCACTGCCATCCTTACCTGGTCTGGCCTACATGTGTTTCCAGATCCACAGCAATGTGGTTGACTCTTAACTGCCCTCTGGGCCATTAGGAATGGGCAATAAATGCTGCCTTGCCAGTGATGCCCCCATCCTGTGAATGAATTTAAAAAGAAGTCCAGTTTGGAATAATTGTAATGCATTTCTTCTGGAGAAAAATTATTGTCTGAATAAAGTAAATTTCTCTCCTAACATCTCAAACAAAATAGCATCTCCATAACTTTATGAGAAATGAAATTTGAACAACACTGATCATCTAAAAGCCAGCCATTAACAAGCTGGCATCTTTATAGTTTGAGAGATTAAGGTTTTTCTTTGGATGGGACACTGCAATCTGATGAACTATTGGCTAATTAATGTTAATCTTCTGCCTTTAGTTAGGTTTATTTAAGGTAGCTATCTATGCAGCTTTAAGTATGCACTTGGGGATGACTCGAACATTTGTGGAAAAGGAAAACTCATTTTGAAGTCTGAGTGAGATAATGTGGGTACATCTGAGATTATGTTGAATTTGCCCAGTGTCTGGCTGGAATCAGTGGAGACTGATAGCTGGAAGCTGGTCAAGCTGACTGAGCCCATTGTCAGGAGAAGGTTTGGAGACATTAGGAATCTTGTGGAGCTACACAACTGTCTGATGTTAGAGATGATGCCATGTCAGTGGTGACATCCAGCATAGGCTCTGGGACATGCAGTGAAATTTCCACCATGTGAAACCAGCAGCCAGAAACTGATGCATTTTCCAATACTGCAATCATATATTTGACACATCTTTCACATGCATAAATCTGGCATTCCTACTTTTGAATCTAAAATAAGGAACAATGAATAAAGAGGTTGCAATAAAAGATAAAATTGAGTTAATGACAAAAATCAAAACATGTGACAACAGCTTTTAATTTATACCAATTTAAAGATACAATACCATAGCAGTTATAACCAATTTTGTAGACAATCGGTCGATATTGCACTTTAATGGATATTGCTGGCTAGGAAAATGGACATTGATTAATCGTTGACCCAAAAGTGGAGGTCCTTTTTCCTTGCAA